GAGAAATAGGCCCTCGTATGGAATTATTATTAATTAAAATTCAGGCTGGTTTATGTGATGGAGAAGTATTGTATCATGAATTTAGTATGTATAAGCTTTTTTAATTGATATCTTTTATATTCAGAAAATATGTAAATTATTGATTTTTGTTAATATTATAAAATAGTTCATAAAACACCTGAAGAAATCAAAAAGATAAAACGTGAACGTGAACAACGAAAACAGCTATCTGCAATGAGAAGAAAGGAACAGGAGAAGAATGTTGAAAGAAAAAAGGCTGAAAAGGAGGCTCACCGTCTTGCTACAAGTGGCGGAAAGAAAGGTTTGACTTTATAACTAATATTATCACTATTTGACTCTCACATACTATATACATTTTATATCTTCATTATACATTATATGAAAACTAGTTAAAGAACAAAAGGAACAAATACCAGATGTTGAGAATAATGTCAAAGAATACTTTGGCGATTCTCAGGATGATTCCGAAGATGATCAAGATGATGATCAGAATGATGATTACCATAATGACTTGGATGATGAATTTTCGGATATAGAACGCGACGATTTGAAAAAAGATCTAATTAAAGTTGATGATGATAATGACAGAGAGCCTGATGATTTTGATTATGAAGATAATGATAGAGAATATGACGACGATGACGACGACGATGACGACGACGACGACGATGACGATGATGATGATGATAATGGTGATAATGATAATGTATATTCGAGAGCTAATGAAAAAACTAGTAAGAATCAACGTCAAAAAAAGAAATTCGATTCTTTAAAAGGAAAGCCAAAATTTTCTATGAAAATTGGAACGAATAAAAAGCGTAAGAAATGAAATTTAAACTGTTGTTAACTTACATTCGGTATTACGAATTTTGAAATATTTCGCTATGTACTTTATAAAATTAAAATAAGCATTTACAATGTTGTGATTCCGAAGTCGCCAGTATGTGCTGTTTAGTATCTCATAGAAATAATTAATACTCAATATAATACGGGAATATAACTATATTAATTTACGAGAATGTTATTGCCTCCTTACATGTCGGTCCGATCATAAATTTCAACTGACCGAACTAACCTAGTAATTAATTAAAATAATACTTACAGTATATTTATTTATGCAGCTTAATCCAAACCAGCGTTGCTAAAATTTTTGTTCATTTTGTTAATTAATTGCTTGTTCTTTCAAAAATAATCATTATCAATAAATAAAGTTTTAGCATCGCTGATCCAAACCACATCTATATTTATCTTCCTACAAGTCACTTTCGTTATAGTGAAGTGATCGGGCTGAGAAAAAAAACTTCACTATAGCTTATATCGAGAGAATACTATATAAACTTTATTATATCGAGCGAAGAGTTAATAATAATGGCAATGAATTTTAAAAAAATTCTTCACTACCGAGAGTTCACTATAACGAGAGTGACTTGTATATACTGTAAATTGATACTTAAGAATAAAAATATTACTGTAAAGATTGTTTGTTATACCGTGTACTAACTTATAAATTAATTACCTTTTTAACTGAGAAATTTCAAAATTAGACTTATTACATAGGCCCTCTAAGTACTTCAGTTTTTAGATTAATTTTAGTATAGTTATAATATCTGATACTAATAACTGTTTCAAGTTAAATCTTAATCAGATGAGTGTCTAACTCAGCGATGCTACCGGTAAAAATTTTGTTCATACAATTAACAAGTGAACAAAAAAATTTTAGAAATGCTTGTCTGACCATTTACCACTTATCTAATGCTACGCTATCACATCATTACACTATTCTCAAAACATCAAATGTTATGAACTCATACGCGACGGGTCGGAATCCTAGTCTGTCAAGCTCAATTGTAACACAAAAAATTTCCTCCCACGTGATCGAGCTCTTATTGGATAATACACTTTTAGCCAATCAGAATTCTTAGATATCGGCCAATGAAATTAAACTTGACTCACATTTAAAATCTTACCAAATTACCAAATGCAGTGATCTTCCTTATTGGCCATGGCAACCTCTTCGACCAAGGTCGTAGAGCTTGGCTTTGCCGAGCCACCAGAAAATCCCCTCACTGCTGATAATTTTCCAAGTAAAATTGGGGGAAAACCGGTAAATTAATGTTTAATTATTGGAATTTTCAAAAATCCTAAGGAGTTTGTTTAATTATCCTTGAAAATTTTTAGGCATGGTTAAATCCAGGCCATATTTTATCAGCCGATCAAGTTCTTTGTGGCATTTGTAAAAAACAAATGATTCTTTTGGTTCAGGTAATTATACTTCATTTTTTGTTCAAATAATTCATCGAATCGCAATTATTTAGTTTTTTAATTATTATTATTTTTTTTTTTCAACATAGTTGTACACTCCTGAAGACCACCCACCTGACGCCTTTCATCGGACAATATATGTTTTTTGTTGTAAAAATGGGACATGTCACAAAGCTTCTTGGCGTAAAAGGTTGTAAAGTTAAAAACAAATGTCTTTTGTCTATTAGATATCAATCCGTGTAAATATTATTTATTTACTTATTTACATCATAAAGTTTAAAAGTGTTTCGAAGTCAATTGCCAAAATATAATCCTTATTGGCCACCATCAAATGAAGAGACCAACAACTGTAATTCCAATGGAGAAAACTCTAATGGACAAGTTAATCGATTGTTGAAAAAATTCATTTCTGGTTCATATGTCACTATATTTTTAATAATGTAACTTATTAGTATTGATTATAATGATTATAACGAAAAAAAAAAAACCATATATTTTTAGTCGATACTTGTGTAGTTTGTGGTCTTCTCGGTTCCAAAAAATGTGGGAAATGTCATAAAACTTATTATTGCTCGAAAGAACATCAAATTATACATTGGACGTCCGGACAACATAAATTATTTTGTAATACAACTACATCTCCATCAGAAGATCATGATAGTTTATGTAGACAGCTTTGTTTATTCCCGGAATTCGAAATTGTTTCAGAAGCTGAGGGGAACCTGGACAAAGATGATGAAAATGATGAAAGTGAAGGCGGATTGTCAAGTATTTATTATTAATTATATAAATTTTTTATTTTATATCAAAGTATTTTAATTTATATATGTTTAGATTTAGATGATGGAAACTCTAGAGCTCTTGTTCCAGTTGGCGATGAAATTTATGAAAATACTAAAGTTAACGTAGATAAAGCGTTTCTAAAATTTCAAAAAAAAGTTGAACCTTACCCTGATCAGGTATTAAGGTAATTCAAACATATATTCAAGTTTTTGCTTATTTCGAAATAATATTAATTTTATATATTTTCAGATATGCACGACTAGATTATGAAAATGAAAAAAACGCTACACCATTATGGGTAAGTGACATTGGTAAACCGATGCCCGAGGATATACCTTCATGTTCGCATTGCGGCCAAGAACGAACTTTTGAATTCCAGGTGAGTAATGTAATAATAAGAATAATAAATATATAAAATAAATTAATAAATTAATAATTAATATTGTCATAACTTCAATATAGATATTATCTATACTTTTAAATTATCTTCAAGTAGATCATACACAAAAAGATTCACTTGACTGGGGTACTTTACTTGTATATAGTTGTAAAGATAATTGTCATATAGGTGATAAGAATTATGTAGAAGAAATTTTGTGGCGACAAGATTTTAGTGATGAGGGTGTAAACTGGTGTAAATTGAGATCTTGATAAATTGTTTTAATGAATTTTATTTGAATAAATTAATGTTTGACTTAATACTTTAAATGATTGAAAGAAATTTATTTCAATTACCTCTCCTAATCTAAACTATTTTGTTATAAAATATCAAACTTATTAGATTTAAAGTTTGTTCATAAAGAATTATATGAATATTGAGATCCTATATTTATTGATTTTTATATACTCACTTTTTTTGTATTTAATAGGGGGGACGACGTTCATATGATTGTCGAGCAAATTAAGAAATATTCAATATCCTAACAGATTTTTCTTTCTACTATTTAGTTATCACAATCCTTACTATAGGCGATCATGACTATTGGTCTATATTATTAATTAAATCACACGTACCAGTACATTTATTTTTCTATCAACATTAATGATTACGTAAAATAAAAGTATTCTCAATTTATTACAGTATTTTGATTGATTAAGACTCTAATTATTTATTAATAATTCATTGGAATTTAAACTCATTCATTAGTAGATAAATGCGAAATATTCAGCTTAATTTCATAGGTGCTGAACTAAGAATAATAACCAATTCTCCAGAAACTTTATTTGTTGAAGAAACTTTGCTGGGGCGACTTAATGATTTTCTGTGATAATCACCACCAGCTCTATGGATGTTGATGAGACTGGTAATATATAATTTTTAAAAAAGGATAAAAAATTTTCATCATGTAAAAAACTTAAGTGTCATTTTAATTCTTTTGATATTTGACCTACACTGTCAACCTTAAAACGGAATGTGATTCATTAATTAGACTACATGAACAACATGAAAATGATGAAGATGGTTAAACGGTCTTTAATTGTAGTATCAATAATTGAATTGGCTTAAAATAAAAAGGTTCAATTGCTAGTGGGAGATACTTAACACATGTGTTTCATTTGTATTAAAGGGTTGGTTAGCTATATCTTTTTCAATTTTACCTTTTTTTTTTTTTTTTTTTTTTATAAACGTACTGTACGTCGTATAAAGCCCACATCGCATAACGTTTGTTTCTTCCTGTTTAATGCGTGTACTAACCTAATTAATATCGATTAAAGAGTTTATGTATTACAAAAAAACAATAGCATGAATGTAACCTTCTTTTATTAATATATTCCGGAGATTTTCATAATATGTGGACAACGGCACAATCATTTACCATTTACCGTTTAACATTTGCTTCTTTCGCAGCGATTAATTTAACGTGTGTATATGGATGAACCAATTTCATGGAACACATGAACTAGATTTTTCTACGTATAGATATTTATTTCTAAACTTTTTATAAATCATTATTAAATGAAAATAGAGAAATGAGGGACACTGAACATTGATCTATTGCAATATTGAGCAGAAGTTTCTTAATATTAAAAATTTTAATTTTGAGAATTTTAAGAATATAATTATATATTATTAGGCCATGAAATATATATACATATAACTTTATGAATTTAATTGCTAAGAGCTTTTGATGAATATATTTATGTATTACATATAAGCAATATATCTATACAGTATATATGTGTTGTAAGTGAATTCGTAATTCTATAGATTCGGAATCCACTTAAGTTAGGTACAAATTTTAAATGATTCAAATGGTGACGGGATTCATACAAATAGAAGAATTAGGGTGTTCTCTCTTAATGAATCTGATAAAGTATTTAATTGGCCAGTTTGATCGGACAGACCAATCAGATTCTTTGCTAGGTCCATTGATGAAGGTGTTTGAGAACGCCCTTTGATTAATAATGACCATGATTAAAGCGATCAAATTACAGTATAACTGAATTTGCCGTATCTTGTTTTAAAAAAAAAAAGGAAAACTAAAAATATGAATTTATTTCGAGGCTAACTTTATTAATAAATACTTTGACAGAAAAATCACTAAAAGATTCACAAAACTTTTATTTCGCAGACCGATTATGATAAAGGTAGACATTGGATTAAACACGCTTTCAACATCGAGAATTTGGAACTGAAAACAATACGAATACTCTATTATTGTAGATGAAAAGAATCAGAATTGATTCGTACTTTTAATACCACATAGCACAAAAGTAATAATAAAGTTAAATTAGATATGTAATAATTTTCTTTTTGCTAATACAAATTTGTTTCGCTAGTTTATTTTCAAATTCTATTTTCACTCAAATCAACTTAATTCAATTCACCTGCATGGATTTTAATGTCAAAATTAAATGTCTTAACATTATATTTAAGATAATGTATTAAATTATTTAAAATAAAATAAACATACCTATTTCCAGATTTTACTACAACTCAAAAGTAAAGTTGCTTGTAATAATAAGTGATACAAAAGTTACATTAGGCTAAAAAAGTTATATTCTAAACATATTTCAAATATATTTACTGATAAAATAAATAAATAAAAAATGACAGAATCATTAAAAAATTTCAAAGTTAGGTAATTTTTGGTTACAAGTAACAGTAAAAGAAGCATGTGTTCGTATATAACTTTGACGAAGGTTCTTAAGTTTTACTAATACAAATATAAGCAATTCCCTCTTTTTGCATTTAATAATTCCATTTTATATAGCAAATGATTAAAAAATCCATGGAATAAATCTTTTTCTCTTTGCTACATAATCATCCCACTCTTTTTTAAAATGACTTTTTAGCATTCGTTCTTCTGTTATAACTCTATTCCAAAAAATCCATATTGCAAATATATAAGTAGTTATTCGCATCCACTTATTATATAAAATATAACTAACAAAATATGGAAAATATAACTGAACGTATGGTCGAATTTGATCGACCATGTATATGTTGATAGGGAGTGATAAAAATAATCCTGTGTACTGTTGTAAAATAGTATAAGAAATTATTGTAAGAATCGTTAATAGTTTCCTCCAGACAGGTCCTTGGATACTTCAAAACAAGTCTATAATACAACTAACTTTCGTTATAGTGAAGAAAAAAAAATAAATCTTTGCTATATGTATATCGATAATTCACTATAATGAAAATTAGTTGTATTAATATATTGCATATGATTCTTCAAACATATGAGTCAGTAGAAACGCACCAAATCTTTTTTAGTGAAATATTTTTGCAACTTTAAACAAAAGTAACTTGACAAGAAATTGTTCAAATTTAATAAAAATTTTTTTAAATACTATAAGATTTTTAGAATTAATTTTAAAATAAAAATTATTAAATATAGTTAAGTCCTTGCTAAGTTATTGGGTTAAAGTTTCAAAAAAATTTACTTAGAAATAATTTGGTGCGTTTCTACTGACTCACCCTCATATTACTAAATTCATAATGTATTTTGCAAAATAAATTGTAGATATAGTAATTTTTGCAGTATACTAGTATACGATAAAAAAAAAAAATTACATAATATCTTCATAAGATCTATTTCACAAAATTCGGTAATAAATTTAGCAAATGAGAAATAATATGGGGGTGAGTCAATAGAAACGCACCAAATTTTTTCTAAGTAAATTTTTTTGAAATTTTAAACTCAAATAATTTAGCAAGAACTTAACCATATTTAATAATTTTTTTTTTAAAATTAATTCGAAAATCTTATAGAATTTATTTAAAAAAAATTTTATTAAATTTGAATAATTTCTTGTCAAGTTATCTTTGTTTTAAGTTGCAAAAATATTTCACTAAAAAAGATTTGGTGCGTTTCTATTGACTCACCCCCATATATTTTAAAAGTATCCTAGGTCTGTTTGGACCTCAAAATTGAATCATTAGATTATTTAATCATAATTTTTACCGATGGATGAATTAAAAGACTATAAGGTCCAGTAGTAATCAATTTATGGTTTTTCTTAATCTCAACGTTAAACGTAAAAAACTCCTTCATAACCTTAAAACACCGTAATCTTAACATAGCTCCAAATATCGCCATAAAACAAAATACTACATCCTCTAAGTTCCAGTTTGATAATTTATGCGGCCTAAACAAATCTTCATAAGCGAAATTAAAATAATATGTTTCTATTGAAGATGAATAAGTTGGAATTGGTAAATTATCCATTTCTTGTTGATACATTAAATAAATATAAAATAAGGATAAACAAATATTTGCTATTCGTGCAATATGTTGCCCAAAATGTATTAATATCAATCCACTAATTCCTTCAACTTTGTAGGTTTGTGAAGGTTTTGATTTAAGTAATTCTGGAGGAAGAGATATCAAATAAAATAGATAAGTTTGAAATAGAACCATGATTACTTTTGTTATCATCTTGGTAATTATTGTTTGTGAGAATAAAACTTTGTTTTTTAATTGTCTTATTATACATGCCGTAAAAACCATGTGATGCTAAATTATCTCATTTATACGTACAATTAGCATCATGTGAATTCACATAAGTTTTAATATGGGGGATCTTTGCTATGAAAAATGACCTTCCGAGACTATTTATATTTTATGAATAAAATTAAAATTTACCAGCGATCCAGTAATCCAATTTGAATTTGTTTTTTATTTATTTCAGAATTCCTATCAGCTATGCTTTATGAATAAAAAAAAAAAAAAAATAGCTTATTCAAATTGCAGAATTGTATTACTAGATCGCTGGTAAATTTTAATCTCGGAAAGTCATTTTCATACATGGTTTCTACGTCATCTATAGGTCATATGATTTAATTTTTCTTAAGGTTCTACGTATTGTACGTAGTATTTTATATTCATCACATGAAATGCTATGTGATGAGATTTATTTGACACTATTGAACGAACTTTAAGTAGTACAATCACTTGATGCTCTTGTGCTCATCTCTAGTAATACGGATAATAAAAGACTGCGATTATCCGTCAAGGTCTAACCTGGTCACGTTTCACAACTTGGTGGTTGGCCTAATGACCCAGTTATAATAAATTTATTATATGGGTCAAGGCCCATATAATAAATTTACTATTGTATTCCAGTTATTCAGAATAACCATGTTGGAGTACTTATCGCGAAAACGTACAGTCGGAATGCTATGATTATTGATAACTTATATATTACTATAATAAGAGTTTGTAAACTACCTATTGCTATTAACAGTTAAAATTCATAAACTTCTCATAAAACTCATAAATGATTAATAAGCAATTTCACAATTACTGATCAAATAATCTCAATAATCATTCTATTATATATATTATTGACTCAGATGCTATTTAATCTTATTGCTTAATTGAAATATTCACCAAAAAACTTAAAATTGAAAATTTTGCATAGCAAAATTTGAAGATAAGAGAATTAGACCTTATATAATACAAGAAAAATTAGAAAATAGAGCTTATAAAATAGGAACAGAAAATGGAAAAATATTGAAAAGATATTATAATAGTAATAGATTTGCTAAATATTATGAGAAGTAAGTATAAGAACCAATAATTGTTATCTAAATTTCTAGACCAAAAAGAAATTCTTAAAAAGAAATAGATGAATTAATACTACAATCTCAAACTTTAATCACTTTATAAAATTTTTTTAAAAAAATAGTACACAAACTTTGTATTACAATATTATTTTTGGATTACTTTACAAATATTATTTTGTTTAACAATAAAGATATTACTCAACAAATTGATCTTACTTTTACAATTATCAAACTAGAAAATACAATTAATAAATCAGAAACAAATTTACTTACTTTGGATATACTAGAATATGAACTTTTTACCTTAAATGAAACAGAATTAGAACTAACTAAACTTTTTACTCTGAGTATTAAATTAGAAAAAGTTCAATAAATTTATAATGAATTAAATCAACAAGAACAACCTACTGCTATAAGTCAAATGAATCTATTTTAATAAATACTTTAAAAAATCAAGTAAAGAAAATATTTGATTGATTAAAAAAAATACAAAATACCAAAACTAGATTTATTAGAATATTAGAAGCTCACTATTATCTTGAAAAAACTATATTAGACAATAGAGCAAACTAAGATCTGATTAGAGCTATGCTTTATCAACAATATAATGATTAAAAAATAAGAGATATTTGAAAAGGAGCTACACAACTAAGAGAAGTTTTTGAAATCAAACCCTTAAGACTTCTATACCAAACTAAGAAGCTTAGTATTACTCAAATAATGAAGCTGATAGAAACAGAGTTTACAGAACTTTTACAAGTTCTTAAATTTTAAATTTGTAGAACAAATTTTTTTAAGAAGAAAATATGTTATAGGATAGATTTTTAGTTATTTTTATTATATTATTATTATATTTTAGTTATATTATTAGTTATATTTATTAGTATTTAGTTATTTTTTATATTGTATTATTTTAGTATAGATATTTTAGAGTAGAGAAAATTATTGTAAACATTCATCTCTAAGTGAAGTCCTCCAAAAAGTATTTATAGCAAAAAATACTCTTAAGTAACTTTGTAGCCAAGAATATCAGCTATATAATAATATAAGATATATCTAAAGTTATTATGTAATATCTAGAGAAAATATAGGCTATAGCAGAAAAATACTGTCTTAAAGCTATACTAGATTGTGCTAAATACTATGCCAAACTATGCTGAATACTTTGCTAAAAACTATACTAAAACTGTACTAAATACTGTACTAATACTATGCTAGACTATACCAAAGACTATATCAGACTGTACTAAACTATACTAAGTACTATGCCTATTACTGTACTAAACTATTAATAGTTATACTTAACTATTACTTGCATAAAGGTTTAAATGATACTTGTATAAGTTACTTATATGATACTTTGCTAATATTTACATTACACTTGCTAAAAGTTATAAATATAAGTAGAATTCTTCTTCTTGTCTTTTAGTTATTTAGATCTTAATTCTTACCTTCCTTCTTATACTTGACTTTAAATATTTATAATTAATAAATATATTGTTATTAAATAAACCCAAATGAACTATCTCTTGTAAAGTAGAACTTGTCTTTATAATTAGTTAAAAAAAACTTTTCTCTTAGATATTACTTCTTAAAATAATTAGATAGTTATATCACTATTATTTATAGTATACTAAGAAAGCTATACTATCTGTAATACTACTTTCTAAACTAGATTTTGATTCTTCTTCTTTAATTAAAGCTAAAAAGCTTTTAAGTAATTTTCTAAGACTTCTTTTTTATTTTTTATTTTTCTATAACTTGATTTTTTCTCTATAAAGTAACTTCTTTTTTCTTTTTTTTTCTTAAAACTATATATTTCTTTATAATTCTTTCTTCTATACTATTATTGCTTTTATTACTATTATTTGCTTCTATTCTTAATAGCTTATATCTTTTCTATTAGTTTTCTTGAAACTCTTTATTTAAGAAATTTTTCTATACTATTAGCTTTTCTTTTTTATTCTAGAATCTTTTTTGAGTATATTTAGAGTTTTCTTTTACTAGATCTTGCTCTACTTTTTTCATTTTTTCTAAGCTTTTTTCACTTTTCTTTTGAGTATCTTTCTGTATTTCTTTTTGCATTTCAAAGATTTGTTTGGTTTTCAGATTATTTTCTTTTAGAGATGCCTATCTTAGTTTATTATTATAGTATATATTGTGAATCTTAAGTTATTTAACAATCTTTCTTATTTAAGAAATAAACTATTACACTTCTTATATTATTTTTATTGGTATTTTTTAAGAATTTAGTTTCTATTTATCAATTTGTCTCTATAGAAGTATCTTGTTAGTATTCTTTAGTAAATCAATTAATTTTTTAAAATACTGACAACACTAATCTAAGTGATAACTAGATTTGGAAAGGCCTATCTCATGTGATATCTAGAGATACAGATGACTAATCTAGTAAAAAACTATAGTAGAAACTGCATTTGTATAAATATCAAACAAGGATATATGCAAGCTAAATTAGAAAATAGTATAGCATAGTTGAGTACTATAGTATCTATAGATTAGGAAGTAGTGAAAGGGTACTTGAGATAGGCCTAGACTTTGAATCTTAAAGTTTATAGACATATATTAGCTCTGTTGATATTTTTTGTAAAAAGAAGTAGTATAAGATTAGGCAAATTTAGGTAATAAATGATAGCAAGATAGAAATAGCATATAGCTAGAGAGTTTAAATAAGGAATTTTCAAATAAATTTCAGATATAGTAACTAGTATATAACCTTTAGGTAGACTATTTAAATTAGACAATCTAAAGTTATATGTGTAGCTAGTTGTACTCTCACATATATAATTATTACTCAAAACTATCTATACCAATAAAAATTTCATCGATAGCATATTGTATAAAGTAAAAAAAAAAAAAAAAAAAAATCTTTTAGAATACTTGCTTTATATTTTGAGTTTTTTAAAATTACTTATACTAGAAGTGATTCTTACTAGATAGTATTCTAAAAATAGAATATATTGAATTTTTTCTATTTCTTCTATATTTAATAATTCTGGTTTGAATTCTATTTTAGCTTTTATTTTTTCATATACTTTTCTAATTATTTTTATAATTTTAACTCTTCTAAGATATTATACTAACTCAAATACTTGAGGCCTTTTTACTCATATCAGAAGGTTTTATACTAAAATTCTATTAGTAAACTTAGCTATATCTCTTTTTTTCTAGTACCTGTTTATATTTACAAGTCCTTTTATCTTCTATGTTTTCCTTCTCATATGAGTCTTGAGTTAGTTTTTCTTCTTTTAACCTCTTATTGTTTTCTTTTCTTATAGTCTTACTTTATTTGTTGTTTGTTATAAACTTGTAATTTTTCTCTATTTTCTTCTCTTCAAATAAAACATTATACTATTCAATCTTTTTTTTATCTATTTTTATTTTTAGGATCTCTAGTTACTTGTAACAGTTAAATCTAATAATTATCTAAATATTTCCTCTTATAAAATACTCTTCTATTTTATTAATATACTTGTTTTTATATATTGTTTTTTTTATAAACTTGATCTGTTCTTCTTTTATATTATTTAGCAATAGTGCTTCTAATCAGATCAAATCAATCTAAAATCTGGTTTAAATTTTTAGGTAGAGTCAGATTCAGATTAGAAAATTTTGATTTGAAAAACTTCAGATTGAGTTCAGATTAGATTCAAGTTGAACATAAATCTA